AGAGCATAAGCTTTCGTGGACTACAGCCCACTTCTTCGGATGCATATAGAATGGAACATATAAACAGTAAGTTTGGTATTTCAATTACATATTTTGGGCTATTAATATTTAAGAACATATATGTGAAATTACAATCTAAACTGTTTTGGGGCTGGTCTACCGTGCTAAATTGATCCGAGATACACTACTTATGTTATGTAAACAACGTAACTGACGTCGACATAGCTTAGATCCACTTAGCACGGTGTCCACACTATGCTATGTCGAAGGGAGACACTCTCTCCTCGACATATCTTCCACCTCTCCTTGAGATGGATTAATGACATCGACAGGAAAGCGCTCTCCCATTGATGTAGTGTGTCTTCACCAGACCAGGTAAATCGATGCTTCTGCATCACTTAAGAACTCTGATAAATCTTACTGGGTGCCTGTGTCCATCTTTAGGTGCCTAAATCCTTTTGTAATCCTGGTCCACAGAAATTACAGAAGCTGGGCTGGAGTCAAGGTAACCTGCGGTAGATCCTGGGGCCTGTGCCATACAGATATCAGACTATAGGATTATATTTATATTTTGGCTTGAAAATCCATGACTTTGTGACTTTTTGCCTCTGGGCCTCTGCTTCTGAGCTGTTGAGGCCCCAGGGAGTGAGCCCCTGCAAGCCCTTAGAAAATGACATGGATAGACAGCCTTCTACAGCATCAGCCCTCTAGTGCCAGGGAAGCTCAAAGTCAGCTTATCTACAGACAGCAACAGGTTTCCATCTAGTTCTGTCAGTTCATTCTCAGAGTGAGGGGTGAAAGGGCTCTTACATAGCTGTGTCTTTGGCTTTTAGATACTACAGCGGTAGGGAAATGGAGATAGAGAAATAATGACCAAAGAATCCTGGTGCTGGAAGATCGAATATATCCCAAGTTGGGGAAAAATCCACAGTGACTAGCAGAGTAAATTCACTATTTCAATTAAATATAGTCATGGATTAATATACAGAGCAAGTGTAAGACCCTAAACATAGATGATCATTTGGACCCTTTAAGGCTTTTGCTGTCAATTAAGTCAGAGAGCTTGAGCCAGTCAGAGAAAAAATCAGTGCAAAACTTTGACTTTGCATCAGATACCCAAAATCAGAAAAAAAATCAGGATTTGGCAACCAAACATGTATTTGTTTTTAGCAAAATACTAGTGTTAAGTGAAAATATTATGTTGCCAACAAAAGAAGGCAGAGACAAGAACATAACCCAGGTCTCCTCATTGCCAGTGACCTGCACAGTGCAGGCATGAAGGTAGAGAAGGAAACGATAAACCATAGCA